GTTCAATCCCCCAGCACCACATGCCAGCCAGCCCCGCCCCCAGGTGGGCTGAGCTGGCCACACACACACACACACACACACACACACACACAAATAAAATTTTAAAAAAAGAAAAAAAAACTCCACAAGAGATCAAATTAGTACATATGCAACAGATTTCTATTGTACATACTTCGTAATTGTTACAGGAGTTAAAAATTGCTTCTAAGTATTAGTGTACTAAGATTGTTTTTTTTTTTAAATTTTATTTATTTATTTATTTATGTGTGTGTGTGTGTGTGTGTGTGTGTGTGTGTGGCCAGCTCAGCCCACCAGAGGATGGGGCTGGCTGGCATGTGGTGCTGGGGAATTGAACCTTGGTGGTCCCTGTGCTTTGCTAAGCTTGTTCTAAGTAGGTGCTTTAGACCACTGAGCCATCTCACCAGCCCCTAAGATTGTTATTTTAAAAAAGATTAATGAAGTAAAATATCAACGTTATGAAAATAAAACAATTATAAATTAGTTACTAAGATCCTCTGGCTGAATTATGTAATTTTAAAAAATGTATTTTAGTACAGGATCTATAGGGTCTCACTACAGATTGGACTTGTAGTAATTTTCCTGTTTTTAGCCACCCAAGCACTGGGATTATAGGTGTGCACCACCATGCCTAGTCTGAATCGCCATCTCAGTGTGCCCCAGGGGTGGGACAAGCATGGCATGCTGGGTATTGAACCCAGCTGCTAGGCTCTGCCTAAGCAGGCGCTTTAGTCCACTGAGCTATCTGGCCGGTCCCTCCGGTTTAATTATAAAACCTTACAGTTTGATTAATTCACTGTTTAAAGCCTTTTCGGGGGTGTACCAGGAATCAAACTCACTTTCTTGCACCTGCCAGGCAAACACTGCACCACTGAGTTATATTCCTGTCTAATTCACTGCTTAGCTCAAGAATTTGAAGACAAAACTTTAAAGAGCTGGGCATGGTGGCATACACCTAAGATCTCAGCACTGGGGAGGCTGAGGCAGGAGGACTGCCATGAGTTTGAGGCCATTCTAGGCTACATAGTGATTTCAAGGGCAAGTTGAACTATTTAGCAAGACCCCATCTCAAAAAAAGAAACAGTCACATAACAAAATATCATATTTTGAGGTAAGCCAATATAGATAATGTCATATCCCCAAATAAAGACAAAAACACACAGTTTAGGATAGAATAAAATAATGTGACTTTGAAAATGAAGACTAAAAGGTATTTCTGAGTTCTGTAAATGATTTTAAAGTATTAGTATACATTATTTAAACTAACAAAAAAGTAAACAAATCTAAAGATAATCCTAAACATACAAGTAATTAAAAATAATACTTGAGTGAATGGCACTAATTTTTTTTGGTTTTTGGTGAATGGCTTGTGAATTCTATCTCAATAAAATTACTTTAAAAAATTCCTCTTTTCAAAATCCCCGAATCTGATAGCCTCTACATAATAGCTGCATGTTAGTATAATCTAATGTTACAATAGTGTTCTCCCAAAAAAAAAAATCATTTTATGACTTGCATTTCTTAGTTAACTCCTTATTTGCCAAAAACAAAAATACCACAACTCATTTAGATTAATTTCTTTAAAAGAAAAAGAAAAATAGCCTCTGTCTTAAGAACTGTGAACCTCAAAACTGGCTTAAGAAGTCTATTTCTAAAGATTTCGTCATTGAAATACTGAATCTTAAACTCTGTATCCTTCACAGGACTAAAACAGAATTCTTACAAATGGGAAGGTGAACAAATTTCAGCAGTTAACACTCAATTATACTCTAAGTTCTGACATGGCCTAGTAGAAAGTAGAGGGACTACATGTAAGCTCCTTTCTCCCGAACCCTGTCCCTAGGACTCATAGAATAGAAACATTTCTGTTTGGTTGGTTGGTTGGTGGTCCTGGGATGCAAACCCAGGAACTATGCAGTAAACTCCAGCCACAGCCTTTTTATTGATTTTTCAGATAGGATCACACTAAGTCACTGAATTGCCCAAACTGGCCTTAACATTTGCAATTCTACATCAGCCACCTAAAGTGCTAGTGTTACAGATGTGTTAGCATCCATAGAAATGTTGATAGAAGTGTGTAAAGGCATGGATTGAGAAATTTGAGATACTCCTTTACTCAATATTCTGGATCATGGATTAGCAGCATATTTATTTATGCCCTCAGTTTTATGTGAAGAAGGAAAAAGAAATCTACATTGGTGAATCTGAGAAACACATCTAAAATGACATAAAAAAGAATATTCATGAACACCCATATGACCAACCCCTAAAGTTTAAAATTTAAATTGATTTAAAACTTGTGAAACACAAACCTTTATGGCAGAACTAGAAGTCTGTTCCCACCAGGCCCTCATACCTGATAGCAGCCAATCCAGCTCCTTCAAAACTCTGAAGAATTAACTACATCAAGAGTCATCATTTTTTATGCATTTCTTTTCTTTTTTTGGAGACAGGGTCTCACTGTGTAGTTCAGCCTGGCCTTGAGTTCACTATGTAGCTCAGGTTGGCCTTGAACTCACAGTGATCCTCCTGCCTCAGCTTCGCGAGGGCTGGGATTACAGGCATGTGCCACCACACCCAGCTGCACTTCATATTTAAACAGCAAATGATACTGTTTTGGGTTTTAACTCATGGAAGTTTAAATTAATGTGCATTTCCCAAGGTATCTAATCTTTTTGCCAAAAAAAACAATGAGTAACTCAGTAGCATACTATAAACCAGTATCTTTGATCGTCATCACCATGGATATTAACATGTCAAATAAAAATGTGACTCTAATGATATATACTAACTTACCTCGCTACAATATTATCTGTAATTTAAACTGTCTAATCTCTAGTGGTTAGTATAAAGGAACCTTCGTACCAGTAAGACATGAGAATGGCAGGATAAACTGTGATAGCTACTAAAAGTAAATCATGAAAAAAATAGATTAGAAATGACTTGATTTAGATCACAGAATCTGTGAGACCATAACAAAACTTCCAAGTCCTTATTCTTTCCATCATCCTTATAAAAATCAATAATCTCAAATGCTAAGTAATTATTTCAGAATATTTTCCTTGATGAAATTTCTCATTTTCATGATTTTTAAATACTGCTGTCTACTTTTAAAATCTGGAGATGACTTCAACTATATGAGGGGAGACAGCTAACATTTTGTTAGTAACCCAAAATCAATAAACTTTAATACTTATACATTAGAATTTCTGAAATTGAATTTGGAATTAAGAACTGTTCTTTTTCCAAACCTAACACTTTTTTCAGCTTTTAAAAGGAACTGGATCTACTGAAAACAGATGTTAAAAGCACAAAAGAAACAGACTTTTAGTTCTATACAGATTCAACATGTCTTTAAAAAACAATTTCAAAAAATACAAAAGAAGTCAGTTAGTCAATTTCTAACTGTGGATTTAAAGTGATATATCTCTATGTGTGGATTTAAAGTGAAATAGCACATGGAAATATTTCATATTTTACTACTTCATACAATTTTTAAAAAGATTTAAATCTTTAATCAGAAAAATATTCATACCTCACCTTACAACTTAAGAGGATGCAAAGTGAACCAGATCATTTTATCAATTTCATCACTAAAAAGTTCGCTAACTCACAATTAAATCCACAGTAGCTGTTAGAAAATGTCTGGCAATGCATGAACAGTGAGCAAGACAAGTTAAGTTTCTCTGTCATATTTAAAGTTTCCTCCCCTCAACCAGGAAGGACTTATATTGTATTATACAGTTTGGGCAACACTGGTACACAGATTAATGGTACACAGATACATGCACATGAGAAAAATACCTTAAATTAGAGTATTAATTGCCCCATTTAAATCCAAATTTCCAGTTCACTGCGCTCCTTTTGGAACTGAAAGAATTTACTGAAAACAATGCTCTGATGGATGGTAAGTACCATTTTAAAGATGAGAGGTATCATATTAGGCAAGAAACCTCTCATTACACTGACATAAAGCTTCAAAATGTGTAATTTTCCCTTTTTCTAAAGCAAACACAGTAACCTATATACACAACTTGGGGAAAAAAAGAATTAGAGTGGAGGGAACTAATTTATTACCAACACTTTTTCTTTCCTGTTAGCTTATCCTGTTAATCTTTTGTTCTATTTCAAAATAAACATCTGAGGGCCAGCAAGATAGCTCAGCGGACTAAGCCCCTGCTTAGGTAAGTACAGGGACTGGGTTCGATGCCTGGCATCACATGCCGTGCAGGCCCTGCCCCCTGGTGCACTGAGCTAGCCACCTAGACCAGGCTGGTGGTGAAACCTGTAATCTCAGTGCTGGGGAGGCTGAAAACAGGAGAATCACTACGAGTCCAAGCTACATAGTGAGACCCTGTAACTAATACATTTTTACAAAAAGAACAAAATAAACATCAGAACCAATCTTACATTGTTACAAAGTATGATTTGAGGGCTGAATAAAAATAAATGCTAAATTTCAAACATACTTTCCATATTTTTCATTAATAAAATTATCTACATAAGTCTATTAAAATCTTGTATTATTTTCAATTAATTTAAAGTACACTGTAAATTTTTTTACATATAAGGAAAAAACTACAGCAATATGCTACAGACTTGAGCATTTGAGTCCTTTTTTCAGAACACACAAAATATTTCCCTTTCAGCAAGTCTTTAAACATAATTGTTAAACAGAAACTCAAATATAATTTTCTCTTCATAGCTTATATTTAACCTTTGTATGTGCAGTCAATAAGTTTTAAACATTCCCACATTTTATGACAAAGTCCATTTTACAAGACAACACTTACAGATGTGTCAATGTAAAATGAAGAATAATTACATCAAGAAAACTGTATTGAAAAATTGTTAAATATTTTAAAACTTACTAAACAAACCCTCAAATCACACTCTTTTTTAGTATGAACTCTGCCAGCACAGTTCATGTTGGCGAGATAATAACCTAGGTTTTCTTTAATAGGATAAAATGAAACGCATACCGGCAGCAACTACAGCTGGAGGAGGCGAGCCTGCCTCACCACCGCTTGTCTGACTCATTGATGCTACAGATGTTTCTCTAGATGGAGGTAACTGTAACTCCTTTGGGAGAAGATCATAGACAGATTCTATAGGGAGAAAAAAAAATTAAGTCAGTCAGTAACCAAATTATATGTACATGAAATGTCTTTTCATAAGCAGTGTATTTACAAAAATCAAACCCATATATGTTTTGGGGTTTGTTTTTGTTTTTAATGTATTTGGTACAGGGTCTCGTTACACAGCATGGACTTGTAGTGATTCAGCGCTGGGATTACAGGTGTGCACCACCACACTGGGTCTCTGGCTCAGCTCAAAAGGGGGCGGGGCTGGCATAGAATGTGGTGGGGGGTCGAATCCCAGTCCTACGCTTGCCTAATCAGGTACTTAGTCTGCTGAGCTATGGCCAGCCCCTCAACTCCATATATGAATGTTGTATATATACTTTTTTTTTTTTTTTTTGCGGAACCGGGGATTGAACTCAGGTCCTTGTGCTTGCCAGGGAAGCACTTATTCCACTGAGCCATCTCCCCAGCCCTAAATGTTGTATATATAACTTAGTAATTTTTTTACGTATGATTTTATTAAAAACTGAAGAATAAATTTTCCATCAGTTCTGCTCCCTGGTTTTATTTTTTGGCTTTATTCCTTATGTTCAAGATAGTCTCTAGATCAAAAAAAACTTTTAAAAAAACCCCAAATGATCTTAGGGGCCGGGGAGATGGCTCAGTGGAATAAGTGCTTCCCTGGTAAGCACAAAGGCCTGAGTTCAATCCCCGGTTCCACCAAAAAAACCAAAAAAAAAACAAAAAACAAAAACAAAAACAAACAAACAAAAAAAACAAAACCCAAAAGATAGTCTCTAGAAAAAGTTATTTATTTTCTTTTCTTTGCAGCACTGGCAATTGATTCCAGAGACTTCACAATGGGCTACATTCCCAGCCCTGTTTTATTTTTTATTTTGAGACAAGGTCTTGGTAAAATGCACAGGTTGTATTCTCACTTGCAGTCCTCCTACCTCATCCTCCAAGGGTGCTGGGATTACAGGTATGTATTACGACATCTGGCAAAAGGTCATTAAATTGTAAAACTAGACAAAGAAATATGAAGAGAAAAAAATACTAAGACAGTCCAAAATCTTCCTCTGTAACAATACTTGCCATCGTTTACACATAGACTAGCACATGCATCAGATTTAAACTGGCTTCTCAAATCATTATATTAGTCTATTCCTGCTTTTATTCAACACCTTGGGCTGGGGAGTTGGCTCAGTAGAATAAGCGCTTCCCTGGCAAGCGCAAAGGTCTGAGTTCAATCCCCGGTTCCGCAAAAAAAAGAGAGCGAGAGAGATTTCAACACCCTTTAGTGAAAGTACTTTAATTCATCACTCTCCTAATTCATTTTTCCCTCCTAAAAAAGCTAAGAGGGAATATCATAACTCAAGAAACTACTTCTCCGGCCAGCCAGATAGCTCAGCGGAGAAGTGCCTGCTTAGGCAGAATGCAGCAGCCAGGGTTCAATCCCTGGTGTGCTGTGCCAGCCTAGCCCCTGGGGCACACTGAGACAGTGATTAAGACTAGGCGTGGTGGCGCCCACCTGTAATCTCAGCACTTGGGAGGCTGAAAACAGGAGAATCACTACTGAGTCCGATCTATGATCTACGTAATGAGACCCTGTAGACCCTGTCCTAAATACATAAAAAAGAAACTACTTCTCTCACTTTGAGTCACTTGGAAAGGCAAAAAGTATAGGACACTCTTAAATCAGAAAGCATAAACACTTACTTAAGATTATGATTACTTTTTTACAATTACTTTTATGTCCTGGATTAAAGAATCTCCTATTCTTTATTAGTATTTTACAATACTTCTAACTTCATAAAATTAGATTTATATCTACTATATACTTCTTTTGTGAATATCATTCTTGTTTTTTGGATACAAATAATTTTCAAAATAGTCTCTAAATGTAGTAGAATCAGTTTTTTTTTTTTGCGGAACCGGGGATTGAACTCAGGCCCTTGTGCTTGCCAGGCAAGCGCTTATTCTACTGAGCCATCTCCTTGGCCCCAAGGATTTACTTATTTATTTTTTGTTTTTTAAAATTTATTTTTATTTTTTAGAATCAGTATTACAAGGAACTTCAAAAGGCCAATTATAAGCATATCCCTATATTCAAAAGAACTGAGGCACAAAGTTTACAGGACTTTCCTACTATTCGAAGAAACCAAAAACTCCAACAACTAAAGATTATCTTCATGAGTGAATGAAAAACAAAAGTAGTATTATAAAACATTTTATCCTTAGTAATAATTACTGAATTGATAAATATCGTGATCCTCCAGTTAATCCTAACTTTGATGTAGGAATAATCAGGAAAGTCAAGAAGGAAAGCTAAAATTAGATGCTATACTCTTTTTCTTTCTTTTTTTATTTTTTTGGCAGAACCGGGGATTGAACTCAAGCCCTTGCGCTTGCCAGGGAAGCGCTTATTCCACTGATCCATCTCCCTGGCCCTGATGCTATACTCTTAAATGATCTTCATTCACAGTGAAGAATAAACTGAAACACTTCTTTTCCAAAGCCCTATTGTCTGGGCTAGGGAAATAGCTCAGTGGCAAAGTGCATGCTTAGCATGGACAATGTACCACAAATAAACACCCATGTTGTATATTAACTTGAAATGTTTATCTTGAAAGCAGTTGCCAAATCTAGCAGCTATCTAAATACACATACTTAAATGAAAAGTATCAGCTTATTAAAATGTTGGTAAACATTTAAGCAAATTATGTCTTACTCTCAAATAATATAGAAACAGAATCATATGGCATTATCACCAATCATTCACTTTAATACCTTTAAGCTTTCTCAGAGGAGGCTAAAACTCGAGAGTTCTTCTGATACAAAGAGAAACTCTCAAATCTTTTTTTTTTCTTCTTCTTTTTCTATTTTTGGTACAAACAAAAATAAAATTTGAAGGGGGGCAGGGGAAAGGAGGGCCGGCCAGATAGCTCAACGGATTAAATCACCTGCTTAGGCAGATGCAGGGACTGGGGTTGGATACCAGTTTGCTGTGCTGGCTGTGCCCCAGGGGCATGCTGAGAGATGGCGATGGAGACTGGGCATGGTGGCACACACCTGTAATCCCAGTCCTTGGCAGGCTGAAAGCAAGAGGATTACAATAAATCCGATCTGTGTAGTGAGACCCTGTAGACCCTGTACTAAATATATATATATTTTTTAAAAAGTTAACTTCTAACCAACAGTATGGACTAAAAAATATATGGGCTCAATCTGAAGGAAAATGGTTACTGTATCACTTGAACAAAGATTTTTAATTTTGCAAATGACAGAGGCTTCATACAGATGAGTACAGACCAACACTTAGATGCATATACACATATGTATATTTGGCACATGCGAGGGTAGGGTGGGGTAAACAGGAATTGAATCCAGAACCTTCACAATGAACTATCTCAAGCATTTTTGATTTTTTTTTCTTGAGACAGGATCTCACTAAATTGCTAAATTGCCCAGGCTGCATTGGAACTTATCATCCATTCGCCTCACCCTCTCAGAGTGCTGGGATTAGCCAAAATATATTGCCACAGCTTACCACAAATCATGAACACTGGAATACATACCCAAAGGAATAAGATAAATTTTAATTTGGATTAATATAATAATAATTCGTGATTTTTGAGACAGGATCTTACTACGCAGTTCAGGCTAGCCTCAAACTAGCAGCAATCTCCTGCTTCAGTCTCCCATGTGCTGGGATTACCAGTGGGAATCACTAGACCTGGCTAGAATTAATAATCTTTTTTTTTTTTTTTTTTTGGTATTTTAGTAAGATCCTACAGGGTCTCACTATAGATTCGTAGTGATCCACCTGTGTTCAGCCTCCCAAGAGCTGGGATTACAGGCACGCCACTACACCTAGTCTCAAATGCCATCTCAACGTGCCTCAGGAGCAGGGGATGGCATGGCACGCCAGGGATCAAACCCTGGCCACTGGGTCTGCGTAAGCAGGTGCTTTAATACACTGAGCTATTTGCCAGCCCTAGAATTAATAATCTTAATATACTATTAATATACTAAAAAGTGCATAGCCCTTATATGCATTCACTCTTTTGCTTTTTTTTTTTTTTTTTTTTTTGCAGTACCAGGGATTGAACTCAGGACCACTTATTCTTCTGAGCTATCTCCCCCGCCCTTTTCCTTTTTTAAAAAAATTAGAAGTTATTTTTGTCTCGTAAAGAATTATTTCCTTAGTTTGCCAACCAAAGTGACGGTTTCCTGTATTTTGTAAAATAATGTTTCATCAACCCACCTATAGTTCACTATAAATTTTAGTTGACCAAAATCCCAATCTAAGTATACTGCTTAAATATCCATGTAAACTAATTGATTCATTTATGTCATCAAGTATTTCTGGGTTAATTCAGTTCTTTTTTTCTTCAACATTCAACATTAGTTATGAAGGAGGAATTTCACTAGAGCGCACCAAGTCAAATTAGACAAAAATGCTATCCTGGGAATGTAGGACAGTAAAAAGGAAAAAATTGTTAACTTACAAGCACTGCTGACCATCCAAACCCCATTCACCACTATTTCCTTCTGTTACTGGTTGTTTCAGAGATGAAAAACCCTAAAACCTACATCCCCTTCTCACAGTCTCCAAAAGAGTCCGGAGAGACAAATCAAAGCAAATAGCTAGAAAAAGACAGGTGGTTTTTTTGCACTCCTCATTCAGCAAACATTAGTTGACACATGACTATATATACCCACCACGAAGTGGGTATATACCCATTTTGAGGGGCCTAGCACTCTGAAAAACCTCAAAGATAGATAGATATCATCTAATTTCTAAATAATCCTATAAGTTAGATTTTACTAATAAAAAAGGTGAAAACTGTGTTACAGTTAAAAAATGAAAAGCAAAAAAAAAAAAAAAAAAAAAGAAGAAGGGCTGGTGAGATGGCTCAGTGGTCTAAAGCACCTACTTAGAACAAGCTTAGCAAATCAGAGGGACCACGGTTCAATCCCCCAGCACCACATGCCAGCCAGCCCCGCCCCCTGGTGGGCTA